CATTTAGCAATTGAAGGAATGTTTGGTATTTTGTAGGTTGTACAGTGACCTTTTTCTTTCCTGTGTTTAATAAAATTATGAAGTGGTCTTGCTTTGTCTTATTAATCATGGTCTCAGCATAACCTTGTCTCATACTGCTGTTTTGTAAGATTATGAATGTACAATAAGAACACAAAATAATTTCAGAGCAGTCCATGACATCAAAGTCTACTTTTTTTTTTAAATAGTTCCCAATATTTTTTTTTATTTCACTATGTATATATATATCATACTTTCTTTTTTTGTTATTTTGGCTGTTATTTTTTTTTTTTTAATTTTCAACCCAAATGTCCCAAAATAGATGACTGGATCAAGAAGATGTAGTACATGTACACCATGGAATATTACTCAGCAATCAAAAAAGATAAGCTCATGCAATTTTCAGCATCATGGATGGAGCTGGAAGGGATCGTGCTCAGTGAAATAAGCCAGAAAGTCTACTTTTTGTCTCTAACTCCCACCTGCCCGCCTGCCTGCCTACCTGATTTACTTCTTTCTCTCCCTCCCTCCTTCCTTTCCACCCTCTCCTTTCTCTGTCATTCATAAGCAAGTAAAAGTGGTTTAAATGTATTTGTTCAGTTGGGGACTTTCCTTACCCCCTCCCTCCATCTCCTAGGACAGTGACTTAATCATAAAGATGTAAGAGCTTTTCAATTGGACAAAAGTAGCCAAAAACTTAGTATTGCTTGGTGACCTTGACACAGATAACCTTCTTTGTGATTTTTAAATTCTAGGTTGTGTTTTCTTGTTGAAATAACCATCTCCTCTGCTTCCTGATCTAGTGGAAGCCACCCTTACTTTGTTGTCTGGATTCACTATAGTTGCCTTCTGACTGATCTCTCAGTTACCTTTTTTATTCCCTTTGCGGTGAATACTTCCTCCAGAGAGGAGGCAAAGTGATATTTTTAAAAGATTCTGGTATCACAGAAATTCCTGAAATACTATCCCATCCACTACAAATAAAATAGCTCCAGACTTATTGTGGCTATTCATACCTTACAGAACCCCTGCTTCTTCATGACTTCATTGTAGCCTTCCTTCTCATTTAGAGGTCTCTACCTGGCTGGACTTTTTCTTCTTGGAAATGTCAAGTCTGTTCTTGCTCTAGGTCCTTTGCTCTCACTATTCCACTTAACTTGGAATCACCAGTCTTTACAAGGCTGACAACTTTGGTCCTTGGAGGTCACCCCTATTTTCCTGTTTCTAACATACCCCTACTGAATTAGCCTCCTTCACTCCATCTTACTTTCTTTTATATTATCTTTAACTCTAATCAGTATCTAAAGATACTTATTTATTCTATTAATTAATCCTTCCCTATGCACTACCCACTTCAAACAGAAGTTGGGTAGGAACTTGTATGTATGTATACTTCTAAGTAAGTCCAAGTAAGTGCCCTCATGAAGAAGTTTCTGGCACAGAATAAATGCTTAACAAATACCTTTTAATAAAAGAGTATATTTTTCATAGTAAATAATCAACCTAGTGAATATATAGTCTGTCTTTATGTCTGTTGACTCAGCAAGAGTAACTAGTTTATTATAAAATTAATCTAAGTATCTGTAAAAATTCATATGGCTTCATATGTTCAAAATAATTCTTTCTATATAATTTTTTCCAACATCACTGTTATAAGGCTTTGGTTTTGATAGGATAGCATAGCATTATGATGTTTTCCTGGTGCTTAAATTAATATTTGGGTGCTTTTCTCTTGTCATTAGAATGTAAATGTGTTAAAGGGCAGCATGGGTAAATGGGGTGACCTGGCTTGTAATTCTTTACTCTTGTGCTTAAGAACATAGGGAAAAACTAAAAAGCAGAATTGCAAAGAGAAATAAGCAGAGAAACAAATTGGCTTGTTTACAAAGTAAATGAGAAATAGGAGAGAAACAGAAGGTGAATGAAAAAAACAGAGAAAGAGAATGAGACAAGGATTAATTGGTCATCACATTGGCCAGATACCCTCTGCCCTACCAGCAGCCCCCTCTGAGCTGAAATCAGGAAAAGCAAGAGAGGCCTTACTGCCTCCAGTCTTTTATTGTCAACATGGCCATTCAGCTTGACCCCCAGTTCCCAGCTCCCCAACCCCTGTCCCCACCATCACATGTTCATAAAGTCAAGTTAATGAATCCTAGGAATTCTCAGTGCCTGAGATATCATTGGCATGGAGTTGGGAGTGGAGTCCAGAAAGAGAGATATCAAGAATTGGAGTCCATTCAGGATGTCATTCACTGGCTGGGAGTTTGTTTCTTACTATTCCTCTAACAAATATATTTTCATTTATTAAGCCACAATCACAGTAGAACTTTGGGAGAGATGATGTGAGTTGAAAATAGCCTGAGCATTAGGAAATTTACATAGTCATATTTTATTTAGGGGGTGGCTAGGTATAAAATACATGTGATATTTTGCCTACTAAGTTTGAAGATAACTGTATTTCATTGTTTGTGTTTTGAACTTTGTATTTCCCGTTATTGAATTTAATACTTGAATTTGATAGTATTTTATCTTTCAATTTAAGGATTCTATTTTCTATGTATTCATACTGCCAACGCCTCATTCATAGTCTGTGAATGTTGGTTTGCATGAAAGATAAATTGTGTATGAAAATATTAGGTGGAGGGTGGAAGACATTTGGAAGCAGGCAATCTTGAATTTGAATGCCTGCTCTAATAATCCAGTATTAACTTGGCAAATTCTCTAGTGTCTCTGAGTCTTGTCTCCTCATCCACGGAGTATCCAGGATATTTATGTGCAGAACTGTGTTGATTGCTCACTAAAATGATATCTGTTGATATGTGTGAGGTGGTATGTGGCATTAATAGGTACTGGATACTTGTAAGTTCATTGATTTTTTTCAGTTTTCCATCGGGGCAAAAGAAAGTTTATGCTTTTCCAAATATAAAAGATTATTATACTTTGTAGCTAGTATACGTTTAAAACGTACGTTATATTTCATCTTCTGTGCAATGCTGGACAAAGAGCATTATCCACAACAATACACAATATATAGTGATGTACATTATGTTATATATCTATAACTATGTATATACATATAGTGATAGTTGCAGATGTCTATATTGTGTTTGCTATGTGCAGACACTGTCTTAAACACCATATATATATATATGTATAGAGAGAGAGAGAGAGGCTTATTTAATCTTTGTGATGAAATCCTTGAGATACTTATTTTTCCCATTGTACAGATGAGTAAACTGAAACATGGAATTAAAAATTATGGAGCAAACTGCAGTTGAAAGTTTTTGTAAGTTTTATGCATTAAAAATTGGTACCTTAGGTCCTCCCTCGTGGTGCAAGGGGTTAAGACGCAACCTATGAAACTAACCACAGTTACTACAGCAGGAGTTCGATTCCCAGCCAGCCAGGGAGCAACCCACATGGCACAGCAGACCTCTCCTGACTCGCCCGCTGCTCCCCTCAGCAGTGTATTTCAGTCAGTCTGCCTGTTCTGCTCCCAACTCTGTCTCTGGTGAATCATCTCAACCCCCACACCTCTGGCTGTACCCCAGTTCTTGTATGTATAAATAAATAAAATCTTTTAAAAAATTGGCACCTTAAACTCCTTTCATTCTTGAGATACAGTCAGTAATTTCCCAGATAAACATATCTTTGCACACATAGGAAGAGCTCTAGTTTCACAATTATACACTCCCTCTCCTTTTTGGACAGAAAGACTAGAGAAGCATCCAAGTTTGAGGGCTAGCTTTTTTAAATTTTTTTTTTCCATCATTTTTCATTTTTGTACAATGTATGCATTTTCATCTTAATTATAGTCCCTGTAAAATTCCCACCCTGCTTTGTTTTGATCCTACTCCCTTGGTCCCCCCTGTAGTGTATATCTGGTTTGTAGTTGCCTGTTGATTTTGAGTCTTGCTTTATTATAATTAAGTTTTTTCCAGAGACATAGATTTTTAAGAGCCATGTTCTATGTGCAGGTGTTTATGCCTTTCGTTCTCTTTAATTTTGAGAAATCGTGATTATTTGGGGGTGGAGGTGAATAAAGAGCACACTGAAAATATAGATTTCCTAACATGATTATGTGTTGAGAAATAGCTACTGATATTACCACAAATCACTGGTAAGCAGGGTGTAAAAGAGCATTATATCTGGATAAAGTATATGAAGCATATGTCTTAAGGATATGTTTTTTTTTATTTTTTTTTTTAAAGATTATTTATACAAGAACTGAGGTACAGGCCAGAGGTGCGGAGGGGTAAGAGGATTCACCAGAGACAGAGCAGGGAGTAGATGAGGCAGACTGACTGAAATACACTGCTGAGGGGAGCAGCGGGTGATACAGAAAAGGTTTGCTGGGCCATGTGGGTATCTCTGTGCCTGGCTGGAATTGAACCTGCACTGCAGAGGCTGCGGACAGCTTTACAGTGCTGCACTCAACTGCCTGCGCCACTGGGGAGGCCCAAGGATATGTTTTGATGACTCATAAAGCCTATTTACAATTTTGTTCTTGTTTAGTTATCTTGCTTTTCATCCCTAGTACTTCATGTCACTTATCAAGTTTTCTGAAAAATATTTGAAATATATCTTTCATTTAAATATATCATCATTTTAAGATGATGTCTTATAGTTTCTAGTCATCAAGTATACAATAATTTCAGGCAATGAGAACCCCCTACTGAGATTTGAAAGGCATGCAGTCTTTGTAGTCATGTAGCCTCTTTTATCTTAAGAGAACATCATTCTTAGTCTTATCATGAACTGTATATGTGTACCAGCTTTAAGACATAATAACTACTTCAATTTTTTTTTTGCTGTGATTGTATTTAATTTCCAAAATATCAGCGTATAAAGAAATAACTTTTCTTTCTTAAAAATTTCTTATGAAGGTTTTCACCCTCTGTGGTACTTTCTGTCGGTCTGATAGTATGTCATGTATTACTGGATTGTTGCTAAGCCTGAATACTTCTTTCTCTTCTTGGCAGCATGGGGTAACCTTGGAAATGTTCTGAAGAGTCAGAGCAAAATTTCTGAAGCTGAAAGCGCCTATAGAAATGCTTTGTACTACCGTAGCAACATGGCTGACATGCTTTATAATTTGTGAGTATGCATTACTTTCTCTATTTTACTTCATCTTTGAAACCTGTGGTGAGAAGGACTATTGATTTAACTGCTAACAATGGAAATGATGATAGGTGTTTTTCTGAAATAGTCTTGTAGTTATTCATGCATTGGACATTGGTAACTGAATAACATTTTTTGTTTTAGACAACATAATTGATATCTGTACATATAGATGTATTATAGCTGAATTTTTTTGAAGTACAATGCTATAAAACTTAAATTTTTGCTTGAATGCTTTCACTTTTTAAAAATGTTTGTTCTGTTAAAACATGGGTGAATTCAGAAAGTGTCTTATGTATCATACTTTATATGATTGATATCTTGATTGTTATTTATGATAGGTTTTGTACTCTTAAATATTTTCCTGTGTTGAAATATATATAGGACATGTTCTAAACTAGGATTTTATCAATTAAAATTTATCATTTTTCTCTCCCCTCTCCAAAGGTCCTGATGATTATATTGGGATAATTTGCATAAATTGAATTAGAAAAATCCCTAGGGGGGAAATTTGTTCTCTTGTTTAAATGGAAAGCTCTAGAGGGTATTGTAAGAAGTGAGTGGATAAAAGCAAATTAAAACAAAGTCACTTCTTTGTCTCATATTTTTGATACTCTTTTGCTTGTAAGTACTAGAAATTCAGTTTCAACTTAAGTACAAAAGAAAATTTGTTAACTCTCATAACTAAAAATTCCTGGGATTGATTCTACATAGCACAATTAGGTTCAGGTACTTGATTATGCATAAGGAATTTATCTCCATTTTGGGGCTATGGTTTCCTCCATTCTCAGTGGGACTGTCTATATCAATGTGAAAACTACCCCTGCCTTTATAGCTTTATGTATATCACATCCTGACTCTTGTCAATCTTAGAAGGAATTGTGATCTTCCTTAATCCAGGAGGAAAGTCTTGACCCTTCTGAGGTCATGTGTTTTCTCTTAGAAGAATTTGGAAGCACCTTAAAACTCCTCCTTTGACAATGCCTCTAGAGATAGAATGGGGTGTAGGAAGAACAATTCCCTGTAGGAAGTAACCAAGCAAAATAAAATGTCGACTGCTTGGATTTAATGAAACCTATGTGACATTGATAACATCAAACTAACTTGTCGGCTTAATTTTGATATGTATTTATGCTCAATACTTTATACTGGGTAAATTTGAAAACACAGATACAAGGAATTAATAACAACAAGGAGAATAATATCTAATTTTTTTTAAAGATTTATTTATTTAGATAAGCACTGGGTACAGTCAGAAGTGTGGGAGGGTGAAAGAATTCACCAGAGCGGGGAACAGAACAGGCAGACTGACGAAATACACTGCTGAGGGGAGCAGTGGGCGGCAGGAGAGGTCAGCGCGCCATGTGGACCCTCGTCCGGCAGCCAGGGATCGAACTGGCGCTGCAGAGGCTGCGGGCAACTTCGCAACCCAGCACTCAACTGCTGCGCCACTGGGGAGGCCCAATATCTAATTTTTTTTAAGAACAAGGAGACAGGATGAACTTAGTTTAACCTTCTGTTCATATATTTACCTTGTCTTTGAGCCTGTAGACTTTAATATTTTTTTAACTTTCCATAAGTTTATTTTTTCATTTTTATTTATATATTTTTATTTTTTTTATTTTTTTTAAAGATTTATTTATTTATTTTATTTATTTATACAAGCACTGGGTACAGTCAGAAGCATGGGAGGGTGAGAGAGTTCACCAGAGCGGGGAACAGAGCAGGCAGAAGACCGAAATACACTGCTGAGGGGAGCAGCGGGCGGCAGGAGAGGTCTGCGCACCATGTGGGACCCTCCTCCAGTGGCCGGGGAGCTGCTGGGGATCAAACTGGCACTGCAGAGGCTGCGGGCAGCTTCGCAACCCAGCGCTCAACCGCTGCACCACCGGGTGGTGGTGTAAATGTAAAATATAAACTATTTATGTATTTTTACATTGTTCATTTTTGTACAGTTTGATTTCTCCTCTCAGGAGTTGATCCCATAAAATTACCATCAATAAGTCACCCGTGAACCATTGCCATAGACTCTTGTGCTCTTCCCTCCCATTTTGATCCCTTTTCCTCCCCTGCTGAATGTGTCCCATTTATAATTTGCCTGCTAGTTTTGCTTTTTGTTTTTTTTTTTTCCCTGGGATCAGGGAAAAAAAAAAACAAAAAGCAAAACTATGCATAGGTTTCCCTATTTCCTCCTATAAGTGAAACCATCTGATACTTTTCTTTTTGCTTTTGAGTTACTTCACTGAGCACAGTCCCTTCCAGCTCCATCCATGTTGTTGCAAATGGCATAAGTTTATCTTTTTTGATTTCTGAGTAGTACTCCATTATGTATATATGACACATCTTCTTGATCCATTCATCTGTTCTGGAGATTTAGATTATGTCCATATTTTAGCTATTATAAATAGTTAAGTCCTTAGATTTTAACACTGGGTTCTTAATCACATAACCAGTGATCTAAATTAAGTCATCTTGTGTTTTTTGTGTTAAAATCCTCTTTTTTCTTTTCACCTGAAATGCCTTCAAGTGGATTCCATTTCCAGTTTGCAAAATCCACAATCCCTGATATTCAGTATTTGTTGTATTTCACACCTCATCATGTATGTATGTGTGTGTGTCTATATATATTCATCCTTTTCCCTAAAATAATTTGAGTTTGCATCTTTTTTTTTACTTGGCTGAATATACCTAGGTATTCCTACAAAAACTTTTCCTCATGTCCTCTTCATCTCAATAATGCAATGTTACCTTATTGTTGATGAATAGTATTTTTATTTCATGAAAAAGAAATTTATCAGTATGATAAACTTATACTAATGTTCTTCATAGGACAAAAACCCTGTCAAAGGACCTCATGCCTTACAGTATGGGATGCCAGTTTTCTTCTAGTCTCCATTCTATATACATTTTTGGAAAAGAAAGTTTGATGAAAAACAAATACCTCATAATTGAACTTTCATCTCTAGCTACTGGTTAGAATATTACTTACCTGCTGATGTTACCTATTGGGCAAGAGTTGAAAGTAAAAAGAACATCTCTTACAAGAGAAATATATTCAGTTAGACAAATCCACTTTACATATAATAGCTGAATTTTATAATTTCTTTGTGGATGTATATATAAACTATAAAAGCATATGGATAGAAATTACCAAATGCTAATGAGAAATCCTTGCTGAAGTAGTGATAACTAACAAGGTCAGTTTTTCTTCCTATTTGTAGGAAATGGGATATGTCATAAATGTCATATGTAATTGCAAAATGTTTGTACTAACATGACTGGATTATTTAAGCAATATTTAACTGTTAGCTCAAATGGAGAGGGTTAAATTCCCCCTGAAATGTTAGCAGTGATTTTGAAGTATTGGATTATGTAACCCATGTTTAATATTAAATGACTTTATTTCAAAATCAGTGAACTCTTAAATGATTTTTTATAAAATGTTAATAGAATATACCAAAGTAGATCTTTTATAACTCATAATATAAATATTTTTAGTATCATATGCCCCTAGGGGTAAAATAGAAAAAGCCAAGTTATCTCATGGACAATTTAGAGATTGCTTGACAAATAAAAAAAAATTCTTTTGGAGATATGTATGCTATTTTCATTACATACATTTGTCATATGTACAGAAATTGTGCCTTATTTCAAATTTCAAATTCTGAATGAAAAGGAATGTACTTTACTCAACCTACCCAATCAGTTTACACTGTTAAGCCTTCTTTGTGCAATAGAAGACATTAGTCACATTTTGTATCATTAGTTATACTCATGTCTTTTTAAAGATATAATATGATTGAAGCCAGAAATTTAAGAACCTGTCCATATTAGTTTGCATAAAATGCTTATAGATATTAATGAATTTTATAAGCTTTTGGGAATCATAAGTTTTGGTTAGGTTCTCAACTTTTAGTAACACTTGATGATCATAAATCTATTTTTTATAATTGTGGAAACAATTTTCATATTGTTAGTACTTTTTATTGGTAATAGGGAGTCATATCATTAAGTTTAACACAGCAATTACTAAGAGAAGTACAATATGGCTAGGCATAGGATAATTCTAGGAAGTCAGATTTTTTACATTAATTACTATAATTTTTTCATATTTATATTTTAAAAATATAACTGCCATTTCTAAAGAGAATATCTAAATATTATTCTAGGTGAGGATTTAAGAAAGGGATGATTTAAAAACTATTAAGCAGAGCTACAAATGACTCATGGTTATATCTGAAGTTTGAGTAACATTGCCTTACAAGATTTTAAAACAGGACAATTTTTTACAGAATTAATTATAGCATTATATCCATGAGATATAGGCAAATAATTTATGTTCTTATAAAATGATAGAATAATGTTAAGGTTTTTCTTTCTTTGATAGCAATTACTTGAATTGCTTTTATGTGCCAAGTTTTCTTCTTTGTTCTGTGCTCAGGTTATCACATTTTGTATTCACATAAAGTCTACAGAATGAGAAAAATGAAACTTAAAGACAATTCATGTGAGGCTACATGAATAGTAGAGGACTAATGAATAAACATAGCAGCTTATTCCTTAAAAGATCAATAGTTTCTGACAAGTGCAAATAGGGGAAAATAGAAAATTTCAAATATACGTTCTTGAGAATGAAAACAGAAGTATAACTACATATATGGAAGCTTAAAATAACAAAAAGTTATATATATGAAAACCTTCGTAAACTAGATGCATTCATGGAAAAATATAAATGATCAATGTTAACCTATGAAGAAGGATGCACTCTGAATCCCAAAACCTTGATAAATTTGAAAATCTTTTTTTTTTTAAACATTCATTTATTTTTAAAGATTTATTTATTTATACAAGAACCGGGGTACAGATCAGATGTGCAGGAGGGCAAGAGAATCACCAGGGACAGAGCGGGGAACAGAACAGGCAGACTGACGAAATACTCTGCTGAGGGGAGCAGCAGGTGAGAACAGGAGAGGTCT